GTTTTTTTTTTTTTTTTTTTTTTTTTGTTTGTTTTTGGTGTTTTTTTTTTGGGGGGGGATGGGAGTCCTAAGCCTGTAGCTATAGTGCTCCAGGGCTGTTGTATTAACTCAGGCAGCAGCTAGTGATGAGAGGAGGCTGTAGACTAGTTTTGGATGGTTGTTCCCCTCCCCGGCTACCCCCACAAACACCTGCCTTCGGGCTGGAGAGGCAGACAGAGGAGCTCCTGGTCTGCCCACCGCCTGGGAATAAGGTTTGACATGCAGAGACTTGCTGTGTAGAAGGAAATAAGTGTGGTCCGCATGGCCAACCAAGAGCTGCATCACCTTCTGGAGGTGCCTCTTGGACCTCGTGCTGAGGGGTGGGACGGACTGGGCAGAGCATCGGCAGGACCTGGGGCCAGTGGGGTGAGTGTTGGTACCAGGGCTTGCTCTTCCTGACTGGCAGATCATTTATTTTCTTCTCTGAGTTGAAGACCATCTCTGCTGGAAGAGTAAAATCGGGGCTCCTTGAGCCCTCGGTGAGGCTGAGAGATGGAGAGTGAAATCCCATTATCGTAGGGAAAATAAAAATCTATCAATTTCAGGATTTATTCTATGGTATTTATGTATAATAAAAGCACTTGTATTCCTGTTTCCGCTCCCCCTATCCTACAACATGTTGCCAACACATGAAGGGTTGTGTAGCTTGGGCTGGGCGGATCCTGGTCCATCCTCACGCCCCAACTGTGTTTTTTTTTAATGGCCTCCCAGTAACAAGTGCTGGATGTTGGGTGTTAATAGTGTGGCCCCAGGTCTGCAGTCCAACCCACAACACTCTACACATTTTCCACAGGCGCAACATTTCCACACAGAGTTCAGATGCAAAGGCAACATCATAAAGCAGCCCAGGAAACGATAAGGTGAAAAAATACGGATGAATCAATCATCGTTTTACAAATAAAATTAAACATTTTACATCAACGTACATATTTAATGATCACATTCCTTCTTTGATAGGTATCAAAAGGTGTTTTTCCCTCCAGAATGGAATTTTTTTCTCTGAAAATGCTGAAATGAAACATTCAAAATTAAAAAGCGCATTTATTAAAATTTTTTCAGAGGTACTCGCTCACCCCAGCCCTTCCTGAAAATATATATATTTTTTTTTTTAAACTCCATGTTTTCTGATTAGTTCATCAGAAAATCCCCATCCCTTTCTAACTGCAGAGGAAGAGAGGGGGGGCTGGAATGATTTATTGGTGGCTTTGTTTCCATTTTTTTTTTTTTTTCCCCTTCCTTTTCTTCTAATATGTCCTGTCTATTAACAAGGCTGTCTATTGCATTGTATAAAATCTATATGAACAAAATCCTTGCACAAAAGAAAACCAAAAAACTAATTTACAATTCAAAACCAGAATGGGACAAATCTTATAATTAATAATGATGTTTTTTTTTCTGAAGAGCAAAGGAACTATTTTTTTTTCTATTAGTCTTACGAAAAAAACATTCCTATTATAAAAATTTTAATTTTATCTATTTTTTTTTCCCCAAAATAGAGAAGTAGAGAAGCAAGGGGGGGGTGCAGAGGTTAGATGAACTCTGGCCGAGCGGAGCTGAAGGAGTTTGCTCCTCTGGTGTGAGGACCCAGCGCCTTCTGGGCTGGATGGATGCAATGGGGTTGATATCTAATTAAAAACAAATAATCAAGCTGAATGGAAGGAAGCACAAGGGGGCTGTAGCCCCATCGTGGGCATTAGCCATCCCCTGCAAGCGTGGGTGCTCCCACCCCATGCTGTTGGAGCAGCTGCCCTGTCCCTGCCAGTGCCCCTGGAACGGTCTCATTGTCCATCGCGTCCAGGAAATTTTTCAGATCCTAACGGTGATGAGCACGTGCGTTGGGGTGTGCCAAGGAGGAGGCAGAGCTCGTTGCACGGAGGGATGTTTTTGACCTTGCAAACTCAGTTCCTATTCCACGGCCCAAGAATTTGGAAAAAATGTTTGGTTGGGCACATAACAGCCCGTGAGGAGCCAAGGCTGGGCACCAGCAACGCTCTGCCTCAGCCACGCAGGGTTTTTTTCTGCCAGTGGGACTGAGAATTGCTGAGGCCACCTTCCAAATGGCAAACGGCGCTCACTTGCGAATATGCATTAGCATACATACAGCAGAGCCAGAGACAGATGACTAAAAAGCACACACATAGATGCGGAAGCGTGCATTAATCCTTTTTTTTTTTTTTTTTTAAATACACAAGTGCCCACTTTGCATTTTAATTTTATGCGATGGCAGTGCAATCGGAAAAAAAAAAAAAAAATGTCCTCGCTTCGGGTGTGCAAACCCTTGTCTTCACTGAGCTCCTTCAAGCATGGCCAAAGCTCCCCCGTCAGTCGTGTTCAGCTTTGAGATATAGATCACAAGAATAGATGGCGACCGATTTCCTTTGTCACTTCAGACAGGTTTAACCGGTATTACACATCAGTTAAATGGCAACTGATTGCAATTGCGCTTATTGGAGGTTATTTTGGTGATAGATATATTGCACTTTGTATTTAATTAATCGTTTTATGTTCGATACAGAGAGGTTGTCTCATGGCAGTGATCGTTGTTTGCAAAGTAACCAGATGGCTGTGAGATGGGTGTGTTACTGCAGGTCAAAACTGTGGAAAAAAGAGTGGATATTATGGGCTGGGAGAGGGTTGAAACCTGTAGGAATGGGACAAGTGAAGGTGTAGGGAGGGTTGGCCACAAGCGTCTACAAACCTGTCACAGTGGCAGGGATTTTTTTCCAGTGGAGAAAGCAGCTAAACGTGGGAGGGGAGTAAGTGGCTGAGGAGGGACAGTGTGTGTTTGTTGCTGTAGAGGGTTTGTTTCCCCGGCGGCACTGCCGAGGGGGCGCGGGGGGAGCTGAGCTGCTCCCCCACGGCCACGCCAAGGGGTTTCGGTGGGAGGCTCTATTTTGTCAAAATTATTTCTCCTCTCCCTTAGCCGACTAAATATTTTCTTGGAAGAAAAAGGATGGTTAAGCAGGCCGGAAGATATGATGTATATTTTATATTTTCACGTCCCTGAAAACGGCCTTTGTACCGCAGCTCTCCCCACAGAGGCACATCCCCTGCGCCCCGTTTGAGGGTCTCTACCAGCCAAGAGAAGCCCTGCCGGGGGGACTTCCATCTCGTTATACCAACACCAGAAGGCATTCTTCCACGTCAGTGACCAACCAAGAGGTAAACCTAACCCGTGAGGTGGCCCGCTGGCCCTGTCCTGCTGCTCCACGTTGCCTTGCTCACCTACCGTCTGCCCCACCGTGCCAGATGCAACAGCTGCTTCTCCCCTCCTTGCACTCGTGCCTCTTGCAGTCCCACTCTAGCTCCAATTAACAGGGCGGTGGGGACTGTGGCCAAATTTTGACCTTGCATGACAAGTCTGCAACCTGTCCCACCTTTTTTTTTTTTGGGGGGGGGGCTCCTTTGGGCAGGGACCTCTCTCCTGGATCCGATGCGATGCCTCACGTGCTTGCAGTCAAGTTACACAAACAGCAGCTCTGCCGCTGTGACAGTGAGGAGGAGAGGTCTAATGTATTATTTAAAAGCTATCCCTGCAATATTTAAGAAAGAACAATGCAGAGGATAGAGTAAATTATTATAATTTAAAGTCTATTGTGCTCATAGAAGAATGAGCATATTCATCAGTCCATATGCCTCAACAGTTGGCTACAAGTGTAGTCAAAATTTTACCCAAGCCTCTCCAGTTTCCCTAACTAGTGTGCATTTTCTCCGAGATACCCATATGTTCACAGTAATCTTTAACTATTAAATTGATTTGGAAATTAATTTGGCAACGGAAAATCCCCCATAGGATAGGGAAGTCAACGTCTTCATCTATCCCCCTTTTTAGGACAGGTCATGATTTAGGCTAAGGTTAGAAAATCAGAACTTGAACTTCCACTGCAATTTAAATTTCCTCCTTCAGCCTCCTGGCATGTTACAGGAATATAGTTATTGCTCTGCAGAAATTATAATTTTCCTAGTCTGGCATCCCATTCCTGGCAGTGATCTACAGCAGATGCTTCAGCAGAAGACAAAAACATTAGGAACCAAATGGCAATGAAATTCCATGCAGGAATGTCCTCATCCCTCTGAGACACTTCTTCCACAGCAGGCTGGGGTGGTGGGAGGGGTATGGATGCTATATAGTCTGCTCTTCCATGGCAGGAGAGAGAACATCTCTCTACAGCTGCAGAGCAAGACACTTCAGGTATGCTGGTCCATACACCGGATTTTAATGCTTCATGCCTAGCTAGATGTGGACCTGCCCGATTTAAAGGTGTTTGCATCGCTTGACTGCATCACTTCGGAGAGCGCCGAGGTGTTTAAGGTATCGCTGGTGTTTTAGTGTTGTTGCTTGGATCTCTTGGGTGAAAGCCGTGTGAACGCTTTGCTCAGAGGAAGCAGGAGCTGAGGGAGATGCGTATTGCACGAGGGTCACTTCTACGCTGTGCTTGCGAGGACGTGGCAAACGGGGTTTTAAAAACTCTCCGGTGTCCTGGGCAGTTCTGCACCGTAACCCTTCGTGACCTACAGACGCTGCCTGACGGGCCGAGGCTGAGCTCTGAAATGAACGGCCATGTGTTTATTTGGAAATCTTCCTGCTCTCTCTCAGTAGCTATTTGTCATGTTCCTTAACACCGCAGCTGTTTGGTTACGCCAGGTCAGCTGCTTTTATTAGTCCTGTTCCCACCACCCACTGAAACTCACACCAGCCAGGAGAGGATTATTACCCGTGCCCAAAAATAGCACTTCTCTCGTTCCCCTCTTCCAGTGACCCTGGAAACTTCAGCGGTTTTCTTCTTTTCTAATTTCCAACTCTGCTGCCTACCTGCTTCCCCATGAAGGCTGGAGTAGCCGCCCTCACAGCCGGGATCCTCGGCGGCACCGGCGTGTTGCTCTTTCTCATCGCTTTTGGGACGGATTACTGGCTTCTAGCTACGGAGACCTGCGGTGTCTTCCAGCGTGGGAATAGCACTCTGCAGTCCGGGGAGGTAACCTCTGAAATACTGTCTTGTTTTGGAAAAAAAAAATGACTTATTTAAATAATTTTAAATTTTTAAAGTTTTAAATCTGCGATATGTATGCCCGTTGAAAGCAACCTGCTATAATGTCAGCCTGAGCTACCTTTACGATCCCAGGCAGCTTTTCCATAGTATCGAGCATTTTGACTGAAGTAAAGTGTGTCTAGGAAACATTAAGACAGCACCTCCGTAATCTGGCAGATACGAACATTAGGGAATGAAAGGTAAAAATGTAAGAGCTTTGCTTGTTGACAGCATTTGCCTCTAAAGACAAAAGGTATCTCCTGATATTTGCCATTAAAAGATTTCTCCCTCTGTAGTTTCTTCATTTAAAAATAGTTCATATTTTAAAGTGTAGGACTTGGCAATCATTTACAGCTGAAGTGATACGACTACAGCACCGACAGAAAACAAAAGCAAACATCAGACGCAGAACGGAGTAGACAAAGAGTTCCTGCCCATCTACCAAGAAAAGGCCTATATATGTTTTTAAGGTTCAGATTTATATAGGATTTTTCTTAGCAGGAGATGTAATTTTCCAAGGACAGTTTAGTGTTTTAGTGCTGACTGGCAGTATCACGCATTTATGGATCCTTTTGGAAGTTTGATTTTTAGCTGCACTTGCTGTTGTCTAACTTTTCAATGAACTAACAACCAGATCAGTTCCTTGAGCCACCCACTCTTCAGAAATGTTTTTTGTGCCGATCAATGTGTGATTTCAATTCAATTCAAAATGACAGGAAGATCCTTGTTGTGTGCAGACTTTTTGTTACTTCAAAGTTCAATCCAATTAGGTTTGATTTTTTTTTTTTTTTTTTTCCTGGTGTGGTGAGTCACACTGGGTAAGCATCATGATGCCAGCAAGAAATATTTTCTTTCATTTCAGAATCCCATAATCAAATGTAGGACACTGTTCACTTGAGTCATGTTTCCAAATGACTTTCTCTATTGGGGAAAAAAAAAAAAAAAGAAAAAAAAGAAAAACTGCCTGGCAGAAGACACTGTCTTTACTGTTTAAAGCGGCACAGTAAAGCCCCGGAGATGTCAGAAAGTCACGAACAGAGGAGTGCCGCTCAGTTTTTGTGCACTTGGCAAATGACAATGTTAATTGTTTCGGATTTTTGTTTGTGCTGTTGTCTTTTAAAGGGGAGAGACCAGAGACTTTGCGCCGCACGACATGAATAAGCATCTCCAACGTTTCAGATGCGCTCTTGGCCAAAGCGTTAGCGTGCCTGTCACTAAGGCAGAGCGACTTCAGAAGCGCCAGGCAGAAATAGGAGCTGCTCTTACTCTTCCCCTGAGCTATTTTATTTCTATTTCAGACACTGTCTCTATTATTTCTATTTCAGTTACCGGTTGTGTACAGCAGGCTCTGTTTTTACCTTCTCTGCCCTTTCTTAAACTGGCAAACCCTGTCCCTTACAGATAAGGATGGTCTTGCGTAGCTGCCAGAGAGCGATTAAATGTGCCGTAGATGCACAAAGTCAGCAGCCGTCCAGCTGATGGAGTTTGAGGGCTGTTACCATTGTCACAGCTGGTATTTTCTTCTGAAAGTAAAAGGAGAATCAGGTCAGAGGTCCGGAATTGGTCATAACTTGAGACATAAAACCCTCAAGGCGAGGGGAGTGTCTCTAGCACCTCCCTGTTGAGTCTCTAGTTCACAGGGCCCAATCCTGTGTGGAGCTTCCCCGGCCTCCGCAAAATTTAATTTTGTAGCAGTCACGGTCTCCTTTACCAAGCCTTATGTAATAAAGATAAAATTAATTTTGGCTATATTTTTAATAAGTTCTTTTGGTAAATAGTCCAACGCTCAACTTTGCGATATCCTCCCTGCTGAGAAGACCTAAACCTTGGTCTCACAGGGGGTTAAAACAGATTCATGAAAAAGGAGAAAGTCTCAACATCCCTGTCGTGGTCTGTGAGAAGGCTGGTGCGAGCAGGGCGATTTGTGTCTCACCTAAGCTTAGCATAACTTCTACTGGGCTCAGCAGAGGGAGAGAAGGAAGGGAACCTTTGGGCTGGTGATTGGAAGAGGCTCACTGGGAGAGTTAGAGCTGGGCTTTTGGGGTTAAACCGGACCTTGGACCCTGCAGAGTAGCAAGGACATCAGACCTGTTGCATCGGGTCACGCCCGAAATTGCTCACCTGGTAATCAACACCGGGTTACAACAGCAATGACATTTATTTAAGGGAAGTGTTTAAGAAGTAGAATACGCCCAGAATGCTCTGCTCCCCAACATACACATCCAGCTCTGGCAATCGGTGGTTTGAAGATATCAAAGAAAGAAAATCTGCCCTGTGAAGGTCTGGAGGTTGTTTGTTACCAGAACATGTTGTAGCTGTGATATGGCAGAAAGTCGAGGGCAGTAGCTGCCTCTGTGTTCCCCATCCCCTCCAAAACCAACTCAAGCAGCGACAAACGAAAACCCCAACAAAAAGGGAAAACCAGCAACTGCCTAAGCAAAAATTACACACTTTCCACCTTTCTACCACGGTTCTCCCTGTATCAGCTTGGGCTTTCATTTCTCCACAGGCTGAAACGCTGGCAGAGGCCAGGCGGGAGATCCTCACTTTCCATCATGAGGGCTTCTTCTGGCGGTGCTGGTTCTTTGGCGAGGGCTACCCAGAGACCATCTGGACCTTCTGGTACAGTGAGTACGATGCCACCGCACCACATCCGCAGCATTTGCTCAGCGTTTGAATTGCAAACAAGCACAAAAGGGCTCACAGGGATGAGGAGGCACTTGACCTTTTTTCCTTTTTTTTTTTTTAATTTTTTTTTTTATTATTCTCATCATCAAAAGCAAACTTGGCTCACCCTTTCTGTGTTTTTTTTTTTTTGACTTGGATTTTGTTCTCAGAGGGTTGTTCACAGAAACGTAGGAAACTCTTGATGCCGTTTAATATATCACTTACTTTTGGACTGGTGGCTTCCACCAGCAAGGACAACTCTCCCCTCCCCGCCTCGTACCTCCTGATGGTTGTTTTCAGCTAAGGGCTGCTAAATTTGACCCCATGTCTTTCCTGGCCGTTAGCACTGCTCTTTTGTCAGCGTTTTCAGGCATCGGGATGCTGAGCATTCCCACCTCCCACTCATTTCAGCACGGGGAAGGCTGGACGTGCATGAGTGTGCGCTCCCTGGGTGCTCAGGACCTCTAGCAGTGGGCAGTGGTGGGCCACGGAGAGCCGTAACCACATGTCTTTATTCTCTCAAGCACACAAGACCTTTATCTTGCCTGCTTTGCTTTTTAAGGTCATCAAAATTACACGTGTGAATAGAGAGAGATGGATGCATAATGTGGTTTTTTTTTGTTTTTTTTTTTTTTTTTTTTTTCTGAAAGCACATTCACTCTTCAAAAAAAAAAAATTGAAGGAGAAGGTGAAACCTGTTCTGAGACACCAGTTGGTGCTGCCTGGTGGCCCAGTGAAGTGTGGGGTCTTGGCCCAGTGAACCAGGTGCTCCCACCAGAAAGAGCCAAGGAGTGAGACCACCCCAGAGCAGACCTGGCACCAGCCCCGCCGGCCCCCGAGCCAGCAGCCGGCTTGCCCGCCTTCGTGCGCAGTGGGGAATTAGAGGACAGCCTTTCCCCGGGATGCCGCAACCCTAGAGGAGCATTGGGGGTGGAAAAAGAGATTTTTAAATAAGTCCTGAAGAGGTTTTAAACACTGCAAAAGCCTTGACCCTGTGCTTGCTGGGGTTTCAGTCTGCTCAGAGATGCTTACGTGCCTGTGGAGCGGCGTGATCGTCTCGTAGGGCATTTGGCTGCAGATAATGCAGATTCCCACAATAAATTTACTCTGCGGTGATTAAAATTTCAGATGATCTTTGCTGTCTACCGGTCCCTGACCTGTGTTTACTCTAAAATCTTGCAGGAACAGTTAGTGCCACTGTTCAGCTGAACAACATGAGATTTTTCACACGGAAATTTTTTTTTTGATAAAAAAGGACAGGCTTGAGAGAGTGAGTTTGCTATCTAATTACATTATATGGAAATGCATGATATAATGTTACCTGAAGTAAAATGACTCTTGCTGATAACTGGCAAATTTGTGTTACTTCTTCAGGTATTTATTATAATAGGATTGATCATGGCAAATTAATTTGCTGCTCTTATGAATGTAATAATTAATTCAATAGGTACTCCATAGTCAATTTAGCATGAACTAATGTCCACCTATTATAAAGTGTTCCTTTGAGCTGGGGAACATATTTAAATAAGTGGCCAACCATTAATTAATTCATTTAACATTCATTCTATTACCGTTAATCATGATAAGCCTCAATGGTATTAATATTGATGGGGCACTTCCATTCTAATTGTGCTTTCCCTTCTCACAAACTGGGGGTCTTGTGAGGGAGCTGGTTCTGGGACCCAGATACTTTTGTCCCTTCCAGACCGTCTGGCGCATTTTCTGGAGGAAAAGAGCAATGGGAATATTTACACTGATTTCAGTTGCTCCATGATTGATGTCCACCTCAGCCTCGGGTTATGAAGATGAGAAGATGTAAGGGTATCAGTCTCAGATCCTCTTATATCTTCCTTCTCTCATCATTCTTCTTTTTCTTTTTTTTCTTTCTGACCAGGGTTTACTATCTGTCTTTACTCCCCAGCTTTCTGATTTCAGTGAGGGGTTTGTAGGTTTTGCAGAATAATACCTTGCTATCTGAATACTATAACTGTGATTTTGCAGAAAAGAAAAGCAAACGGGGTGTTTTTTATTGTTGTTGTTGTTTTTGTTGTTTTTCAGCCAGCCAAGCGCACCCCAAGTTCTGCATGCATGGCTACCTCTTTCCCATGCCCATTGCTCTTGGACCTTTCCCCCACCCTTCCTACGACACAACCGCAGGTGGGTTTCTTGCCTCCTCCCCCAGCAGCTCCTTTCCCAAGCGATCAGGCAGAGATTTACGATGTGTGTCAGTGCTGTGGTTCTCCCGTTGTAAATGCCTGTGGCCAAGCGTGACCAAGGCTTTTGGAAAGCGGCCTTGCTTAGTTGACTGCCCCAGGCTATGAGCACATCGAGATGTTCTCCCACATCTTCTCTCCTCCAGACCCAGCCATGCCTGGCCATGAGCCGTGCACCCTCCCGCTGGGTGCTCAGCACCTACTCCTACGAGCAAGGGAGGATGCTAAATCCACTCCCTCCCACCTCATCGCTCACTGGGAGGAGCTGGATCAACCCCATGGCCAAATCCAGACTCTGTGAGCAAGCAAGAAAAGTAATTTCTCCTGGGCTGCAGGTTTGCGGCAGCCCAGTGCTGATTTGTTTCCAGTCTGGCTTCCTGGGAGAGCTCTGGTGTTGATTTGTTGCAAGGCAAAATAAACAAACACTGGGAAATCAGTTAAAGACCAAATTGTTAAAAGATCCATGTAGGTGACTGGCTTATTTTTAACACACCGAATATGACACAGTTGGAGAGCTCTCCTTTCAACTGGTTCCCTTTTTATTTATGTTTCTCTATATTTTCAGAGTTCTTTAATGAATCAGCTGCTGTTAGGAATTTTAATTTGCTAAATTGGTGGCAGCAGCTAGAATTAATTCCATGATCTTTTTTTGAAATGAATTGATTTCTTTAAATAGTGTGCATCACTCTGCATCGCCTCCGGGGAACTGGGGCAGGCGTACTGCACAAACAAACATCTTGACCTTTTCCTTAGCCTTTAGCAGTACCTTTTTTATTTTTATTTTTTATTTTTTTTTAATGAGGAATTAATTTAAAAAAAAAAAAAAGAAACATTTGTCAGTAGAAGCATGTGAGGGAGAGCAGCTAATTTCTTGTGCTGTGCTGTGCAGGATTCCTGCCTCAGGGAACACGCTGTAGTGTCAGTTGGATACGAGGGACCTGTCGGCAGGCGGAGGAGGAGCCCGTTGCAGGCTGTGTGCAGCAAACATATGGGTTAAGCGGTGGGATTTTTTTCAGCTTAGGAGAGGCAGGCATGACGTCTAGTTTCTGAATGATCCCGCTGATAAACGCACTACGTTGTCCGTACTAAATAAAGGGCCACGGAAGCATCTGTCCCTGCCCGTCAGCCCTTGCTATGAAACCCTCTTCAGCTGCCTCGCAGAAATGCCCGTTGGGACAGGTCCTGGGAGGGTGCTGGGGACAGGGGCTGCACCCCGGGGTGCTGTGGGGCTCTGCCAATTCACCTCGGTACTACAATCCCCGGGGAGATGAGGATGTCTCAGCGCCCATGTTTAGAGCAGCAGGAGCGTTGGGCTCCTCTGCTGCACCAGCCCCACTTGCAAAGCCCTCAGACGTCTGCAGAGAGCAGGTACTTCTGTTGTTAACACTCATTTTATTTCAAGCCAGTCCATCCTCGGATGCAAATGATGACAAAACAGGAGGCTGTCCAAGAAGAGGGGTCCTCCAGCTATTACCTGCTCCAGAGATAATTCTGCCTTATCTGCATCCTCTTAGGATCCCTGAGAGAAATGGGTGACGGGAGGTTAAACATGAAAATGAATTCTGTGGTTTTGGAGAGTTCAAGATACTTATCTTTCCCTAAGTGGCTCTCCTGACAAAATGGTTTAAAATGAGTAAAATGCATCTTTTCTGTATCATTTTTCTTTCAAGTGTGAATCATTTCAGCATTACCCACTTGCTCGTGCTCGGCTTAAATCTCTCTAACCAGCGCTTCTGAAAAAAACAAGAGGCAGAGCGAGGTGTGGCAGTCTGAGGGGATCACATAAATCAGGGGAACGGGGAGCAGGGTATCGGAGAGTCTCTGCCTGAAGATCGCCACCTTTGGCCAAGGTTTATGGCAGTGGCTGGAAGAGACTTGGCTACTGGGAGACTGAAATGAGTGTGCTGCGTCCCAGCCTGTGGGATGTGAGGGACGCAGGCTTGCTCGGCTCTGCCTGGTGCGATTGCATGAAGTCCCGGCAAACGCCCCAGATTCAGCGCATGAAGAGGCAGCTGTTCTCTTGCCCTGTTCTCTTACTTGGAGTCAAGCTTGGTCATTAATGGGGGAAATCACGAGCTCCCGTTTTCCCTGCAGCCCTGCTAACAAAAACCGCCTTTATTTTAAACCAGGAACCTGGCACCTTCCGTAAGTGTTAATTAAAATGGAACAAAGATGCAGTCTGATTCCATCTCCCCAAATGTTGCTGTTTTCTTTCCTTTCTTGCCAAGCTCTCCCATTCCCCACAGGCACAGCTAAGCACGGTGTCCTTTACTCTCACCCCCTTTTGTGGTGTGCTTCCTTGGCAAGCCCTTCCAACCCCTTGTACTCATTCCAATCCCATTATGTAGGGCACGACATTGAACCTGAACTTGCACCGCTTCCAGGCACATCGCGCCCATGCCGCGGCTTAGCAAAGCAGGAGCTCCAGCTCTGCCTAACACGAGCAGCTTCACAGGTTACTGCTTTTACCGTGCCTGAAGCAGGAGTTAAGCATGGACTGAAGAAACCCGCTTTTCCTCTCCTTTCCCCTGACTTTACTCTTTTTGCCGGTGCAGTGTACAGAGGCTTCTGGACGGCGTTCATCATGCTGGCCGTGGCCGCAGGGCTGGTGGGAGGGCTGCTGCTGGTGTGCGGCGTGCCCTTCGTCAGCCCTCGCTCCTACAAAGCGGGAGGCGGATTCCTCCTCACCTCAGGTAAGCGGCGGCACCGGGGTACGGCCGCGCTCCGCTTGGCGCCTGCGGGGACGGGGAGGCGGCCGGGGGCGAGGCGCTGGCGGGGATGTGGGGGTCTGATGGGAGCTGCACTGACTTGGACTAAATGATTTCCCTCTTTGCCCACCAGAATTAAACCTCTATGCTCAGTCAAGCTTTAGCAAGATAGTCCTTAGTCCTAGGGAGGCTGGGTTTTGGGAAAAATAAGTTGGGTGTTTTTTTTTTTTTCTCCTACTCTTCTATGCAACCCAGAGGAGCAGAGACTTTTATTTTAATAAAGCCCATAGCTGCGTTAACCCTGGGCAGCAGTCATCCACGTTCTGTTCCCCTAAGACAGTCTTTGCGTTTGGGCCTCTCCTGTCCCTGCTGCTAACATCTGTTAGAGCTGGAAACCTTCACTGAGTGATGAAAGGCGTACCCGGCGACTCAAAATGGGAGGGCTGGCTTAATAAAACCTGAAAAGATAAAGCAGTAGCACAGCAGGAAAATGAATTAAAAATGGGCATTTATTCGTTATTCCCACTGCCATTACAAATGATTCCAGTGAATTATCACACGGGCTTTTTCCTTTTCTGTATTTGAGAAGGAATAACTGGCTTAACTCGTAGAAATACTTGACTTAGTGACTCAAACTCAGAAATAAAGCTTTTTTGTGACTCGAGCGGCTAAAGGCTGGAGCTCAGCTGAGCCATGCCAAGTGAAGAACTTCATTGTGAAGTCAGGCCTTTCTCTGATAAACCACGGCTTAATTACGGATGGCACACCAGGTCCCGCTTCCTCACACACAGCATGAATCAAACGCAAGCCAGCATCTTGCCTCCAGTTTGGACTTTGAGTATCCCCAAGTTTTTGGGGTTGAAAACATTCAGGAAAATATTTCACAAGGAAGGTCCCAACCCTGACCCTGGAGGAACTCCACCCAAACCCCTTTCAATCTCACCGTGCCCTGCCGTTATTACCTTTTACTCTTTCCCCCCATTATTTAGCTCCCTGTTCATTTTATAGCTTCTTTCCTAGTTTCTATCTCCTCCGGCATGAAGGAATATGACATCTATCTATTTGTCTAGAAAATTGGGAAGGCACTAAACCAATTTGGCCCTATGTGCCTCTGCTAATTTGCTTTGCATTTTGTCCGGTTTTCCATTTGCCTCCAGGTCTTCAGTTACTGAAGGGCGAGCAGCAAAGCCTGTGGGTATCTGCTTATTTCTTTCTTATATAGTTTAATAAATACTTGGTTGGGTTTAATTTTCCTGAAGGCAAATCTCATGTGGTTTGCAGACACAGATTTCATGTGGGAGTGCAAGTGTCTTGTTATCAGATCTCCACCAGGTACCAATACCTTCTGCTGAGTAGTGTTGGCCACTTGACATGTGTACATTGAAGTCATCTCTTCTTGTGAGACTAGGGCAGAATATTTGAATTCCCTCACTCTGGCTACCTCACTTAAAGCCCTATTTCTTCAAAACACTCAACTTTCAGCCCAAATAGAAAACCTAAGATCACTCACCTTGTGACACTGGCCAGATAAATAAAATATCACGCAGAAAAGGGTGTCGAGTAATACTGAATCACACTATTCAATTTTTTTTTTTTTTCCATTGTTTCTGCACTTTATTTGACTACTTCTTGATTAAGAAGCTAGGGCATAGAATGTGACACTTTTTAGAAAAGCTGATTATGCATCACATAAACCTCTTGGCATTAGACAAAGATGCTGCTGTTTAAATTGAAGTTTGTACTAAAGCAGTTTCAATCTGAACAGCAATCATTGTTATTAACTGTCATTAGGAGGAATGAGTTCAGCTGAAATAGAATTCCTGCTATATTTTCAATCTAAATGATAGCTAGGAGAATGAAATAGTATTTCAGCATTTTCAGCGAAGTTTACTTAGAGTTTCAACTGATCTTTTTTGGGGGGAGTGGGGGCATCCTGAACTCAAACCTCTGGATCCTGCTTGACGCTGGCTTCCTGATGGATGCATGCCTCCATGGTTATTTTCTTGCTATCCCGTCTAAAAATATTTTGCATAATTGCGCTGAGCAGTAGGAACAATAGATTTAACACAGCTCCAACTCCCCAGCCATCCCTCTCCTTCAGATAGCGGGATGCGGAGAGACGACGCAGGAGAAAGCGCGTCTTGTCTTCTAATCGTGGCCTATGGGTCAGTGTTAATTAACCTCCCTTGCAGAAGTGATCTCTCCTTGAGGAAGTGTGAAAATGTTGGCAATGTGTAGAGCGGGAACATGGTCTGGCAGTCGGATGGTGAGATGGGGCACGATGGCTGGAAGATATCCTGGCCTCTCAGGGCATCCTTTAGGTGCAGCTTTGTTCTGTCCCTAAACTCCCTCTGCCCCTTTTGGCAGCAGCCTGTGCTGAGGTCGTGACACCACAGGCCTGGTTAATCATCACAAAATGATGATGCAACATTTGCCACCGAAAGGCTCTGAAGATATTACTGGTGCAAATGCACTCCCAAGCACATTTACGGATAACCCGCCTGACATGGTCTGGAGGAGTTATGTGTGCCCCTCTGTCACGGAGGGGGGAATTCAGCGCCTAAGGGTGATGGTTGCTATCGCTCAGTTAGGTCTCCTTGGGTTACCTCTCCAAGATGCCTTTTATTTACTGCACTTTCAAGAGGACAAATCCGACTGTCTGCCAGCTACCGCAACAAATGTAGTGCTCGGTGGGTGGCGTTTCTGAGAGCCCTTTCAAACGACCGGAGCCATCCCCCTTGATTTCCTCTGCTGGGTGACTTGGGAAATACAGCCGGAGCCCATCTGACATTGGCTGCTGCTCGCATTTGCACATCTACCTCCCCAGCTGAGCAGTTATCCTTGCCAGCCTGCTCCCAAAAGCACCCCAACTGCATGAGCAAATAGCCGGCGTGCTGCTTTCCTTCTAACGTTGGCCATCACAGACTTAGCTTCGGTGCTTGCAAGGGGGAGGCAGATCTGCCTGGTGACTAATTGTCCCCTTGTTTCAATAGTCAGATGACAATATGATTAATTATCACTACAATGTCACCGAGAGGGCCGGGTGAACGCTGCTCTGCAGCTTCTGGAAACGGTTTGAATTACTGAGACAGCTTTGCTTGTGCTCCTCGGTTTTCTGTGCTCCTGCTCCTCAGTTTTCTGTGCTTGTGCTCCTGGGTTTTCATTTCTTTGGGCATTTTAGAGACCAGGCTTAGAAGTGAGCCCGTGCTTCATCTAGACTTGGGGCAATTACTGAGCTCCCAGCACTGCCCTTGGACGTTTGGACCAGCTGCACAGCTGTAGGCTTCAGTGGAAAAATGACCTGAGCTCTACTTGGTGACTTGCTCAGGGGGAAAAAATCTGCTCTGGAGGGAGCGGACAGGCAAAGTGTGAGCGTACGGTGAGTTTTCGAAGCAAGCCATAAGGATGCACGACACAGGTAGTGTTAAGCAACCCAAAGAGGAGCTTGTTATCAGCTCGCCTTGCACTGGAAAGCACAGATACATGATGAACCACGTACACTCCACGCTTCTTCAGCCGCTGTGGTCCTGGTGCTGTTTCGCCAGCATCCCCACTTGCATGCTCGCACCATCCTGCAGCCCCAGGATCGCTGTGGCCGTGAGCACAAAGCCTTTCCTGAGCTTTTGGAGTCATGAGGTGGTCATGCTCTTCAGCATGAGCTGACTGCATTTAAAAAAAAAAAAAAAAAAAAAAAAAAAATTGGCAATCTCGGGCTCCCCACATGCAGTAAAGACTGACAGTTATGGAAGGGCAGCTGAAGGTCGCCCCTCCATTTCCTCGTTATTAACATCCTTAAGAGGCAACTAGTGAGAAAGGCGAATGAGTCAAAGTTCATTATTCTCATAATTAGCAGATTACACGAAAGTTCAGTAGCTTCCACAGGATAAGAGTTAAAGATTGAGTTCACTCACCTGTCCCTACAATTAGCAGCTATAAAGGTGTCACAAGGATATAAAGTGAGAGAAAGAAAAAGCCCGACTCCAATTTACTCACAACGAAGGTGCAGCCCTCCTGGGAGGGGGAGATGGAGCGCCAGGGTTTGTTGTCCTGCAGTTAGCAGCGGACGAAGGAGAAAGATTTAATACCCCACTTCAATTTTCTTGCAATTAGTCCCTCCCCAGAAGATGCCATTGACCTCATCAGCATGGAGATGGAGTTTCGCAGTTAATTTTTTTTCCAGACCATCCTAATGAACAGAGGCAGAAGGAAAGGGAGGGAAGGAGATCACTTGGCTAATTTTCCAGTGACAGAAACCGTAGGGATGCTGAGAGGAGCCGTGGGGTTGGTCTTGTTTGGCGAGGTCCTCACTTATACTTACCCAAACCCAACACACGTCCTGTGTCTCAGGTGTGTGCGCCAATGCCAGCCTCACTTCTTGGACAGAAAACTAATTTTTTTTTTTTTTTTTTCACTTTTTCATTCTGCTGCCCAAGGCAGGAAGAAGTCTGTCTCTGTACAAAGCGCTTTGGGGCTGATAGGAAATGAAGATATCTTTCTGCTGCAGCAGAGACTAAAAGCCCCCAAAAAGGAGGTGGTAAAGTAAAACCTGTTCAAAAGGCGAAAAATCCAAAATAAAATGGAAAAACACTTACTTTGGTCACATGGGAGTGAAACATCCTGATTTTCTCATTGCTAGGAGTCTATTAACGTTTAAAAGCGTGACAAATTTTCGGCAGCTTCATGAATACTTGTGATTGTTCCAAGTAAGCAATTTTTTGCTGAACTTTTTTTCAGTGAGCTGCCCTCTCTGCGCTTCCACCGTCCTTCTTCGCCTTCACCTGCCCTTTTGATTTTCTTTTCTCGCTGAGGAGATGGTGTAAATCCCAGGGACTCCTCACCACTCAGCTGTAATTATTCCAGAGGAGAAGGCTGCTTACTTTACACTTTCTTGTCATTTTTCCAGAGTGTGAAAATGTTCTTAATTTAGATGCTGTGGCCGTGCCATCACCTCCAGTACCTGTTTAATAATAAATCCTTCCGTACCCAGACCTGGCGCTTCTCCTGGGGTGAGGGGAGGGACAGTTTCCCCATCCTTAGCTCTTGGCACGCTTGGGGACGGTGCCACCCTCTCACAGGGCTTCCCTGAACCCTCCGCAGTAAGAACTGGTAGGTTTTAATCTGATCGCTTCAATAAACGAGGCTGGGACAATTCAACGCAAACTCCCTGGTTATTTAAAGTCGGAGAATTCAAAAGTACGCTACCGTACCCGTGTCCTCTGTCCCACTGGGGCTACGTTTTCATTTGCATCTCTTACGGTAGGTATTATAAGCTAATGAAATAGAAATTGATCTTTAAAAGAGCACTTTTCAAGGTTCAGTTGCTATCTAATTAATTTAATTTCAAATTACATCAGTAATAAAGACTTAATTGCCTTCTTATCAATATATTGTATTTTGTAAAGGACATGTGACTATTTAAACATGCAATTGTTTTCTTATAGTAGAATAATTGGTATTTTAAGCATACAGCTATCATATTAAGTGTAAAATATTTATTTGTGCACTTAATTTCAAGTGGTATCAAAATCTCAATGAACATGCAAATGTTACAACAGCTGCTGTTTAACTCCTAGCCTGCCTCTCCAGCAACCACGAGGACTTTTCCGTGTGAGGGGGAATGGCTTGAAATCACAGTGTGTGGTGATGTAAAGTATATTCCTATGGTTACACCGAGTTTTGATCATTAAGATTCAATTTGCAGTCTTAGGGTACAGGAGGCTGTTTAACAGACACGGCAGCTTTGGCTGGGTAGCTTCAATTTCGATATAATACATAGAAAGGACTTTGGATGCTCTATACCTTCGCGTAAGTCTCTTTTTTTTGGCTACAAGATGTGGAGGTTTGTAGCAGCAGATGTGCTCGTATCCATTATAAGCAGAAACACGGTTAAGCACTGACGTGTTTTCTCTGACCAAGGTTTCAGCAACCGCCATTGCTAAGCAGATGTATCAGTGTCAAGCTTTACCCACTTCCTTTGCTTAGCATGGGAGTTGGATTTTGTGGTAGTATAAGCTGCCAAGAAGAATAATTAAATATAGTACAAGCTACCTCTGATTTAAAAATTTCAAGGGGAGAAGTTAAATCCAACAGAAGCCGCAACACATCCAGAAAACTGTGTGGTAACTTGTCAACTAAATTAGTTTCAAACTGTTTACTTCTACTATAAAAATATTGTAATCTGTGATGTATTTATTTCATATATATATATGTGTGTGTGTGTGTATCTATATGTTATACAGCACCATTTAAAAATAGGAAGCTTCTAGCTGTGAAGTAGCGAGATCAGATATTATTGAAGTGCTTTCAGATCTGTCATCACACCGTCACTGTTTAGTTTTAATATATGTTGACTTTAAAGTGCACTGTACATATTCATTAATGCGACACAGTAAATAATACTGGGGCCACGCTACTTTGTTTGTCATCTGCTTCACACGGGGGAGCTAGACCTGCAGCCTCCAACCTCTATCACTTTGAATTATGGGGAAAGGAGGTTCCTATTAAGTCACAAAAGCCCCCAAACCCACCAGGGGCTGTCCCAGGCCCGGGAGGTGCCTGTTTGCCACGTGCTTTTCAGATGTGACCGAGCTCTTCCTGTAGACGTTGACCTTCGACGGGTATGCATCTGGAAATAAGAGATGGCGAGGTCTCACGGGAGATCTGCTATTTGGGTCGCAGGCATCCTGCAAGGCTCGGGAGGCTCCGAGGAGGGAGAACCCTCGCTTAGCAAGGTGCTGACCTTGCACTCGTTGCTCAGGCTGGAGTGTGGCCTCGGCTCTCCTCCTGCCTGGCTCCAGGGGAGGTCAGAGGAGGTCTCACTTGCCAACAAAAAGACTTTCTAGCCTTATGGTAAAAGCTGTTTATTATTCTTTTTATTATTCTGTTATTTAGTAGCCCATCTGAGATTAATACCTCACGGCTACATGCCTTTTCCCCTCTATTATGTGTTATTTCTCTGCAAATAGAAATATCTACATTTCTATATGATATCCATACTCCTTGCCACGTGTTTTAATGCTTGCTTGCGAAGCTCATTTTAAGGAGGGGGTAACACCAGACGTGGAGGGGAGCTGCCATGAGCTGCAGCAGCTGCTCAGCATCTGCACGGGCTCTGCTTGCACTGGTGCCGGGGGTAGCAGGTCTGATGCTGGGTAACACTTGCCATCAGCAGGACTGATCTCTGTATCTTTGCTTTTCTGGTGGAGGGTGAATCTGACACTACTTGGAAGGCTAGACAAAAAAAAAAAAAAAAAAAAAAAAAAAAATCCCACTCATCTCAGGCAAATCAAAAATTAAAAAAGGCAAACCGACCCACCTTTAAGACAGGAATGCGGAGCTAGCCTCATGCAGATCCCTGCTGGGACATCAGCCGTGGTCATGCTGGTTTCTCCGTGGCCGTATCCAGCTGTAACGGAGCCCTCGGTAGCGGTTAAAGCACGAGGTGTCGGTGCGCCTGCGGCTGGGCACTGTGGCGTGGGTCTGGCCCGCAGCGAGCGGGCTTGGCTTTCACAGGAGCCTGCAGAGCAACGTACGAACAATAATTCTGCAACTTTGGCTTTGATGCAAAGGACCTGCAAGAACAAATGGAAATCTGTTGCAATCTTTTCTCAGTTTCATTCCCGTGTGTCAAATGCAGAGAATAACTCATCTTTGTCTCTTTCCAGGAGGGTTATTTCTCCTGCTCATATTTCTCTTTGTGATCTGGAAGGAGTTTGCCGCTGATTTTCAGAAGTACATCCTTCTGGAGAGAAGTGAGATGTGCACGGACGACGTGCCCGTGCACGTGTATTATGGGTGGTCGTTCATGTTCGCCGCAGCGGGAGTGCCCCTGGTTTTACTTTCTGGACTCCTCTTCTACCTGATCGGCAGAGACATTATGAAGTCCCTGGAGTAAGACAAGTTTGCCGCGCTGAGAAAGCCTTTTGAGAAAATTGGTGATGCTCCTTGTAATGAAACGTTCGCAAGTTTTGAGGACTAGATCGTTTTGTCGCTGCACGTGTCGGTGTCGGTGCACGATTACGCTCACACGGAGGCAGGGGTGGAGCACTGAGCACCCAACCGCTGTCCATCCAAAGCCAGCCCCAGCTGAACATCCCCATTTTCTATACAGTTTTGAGAAATCCAGACGTGCCTATGGGTTTTTCTCTGCAGCCCGAGGAAGTGCCGCCGCTGTGGAAAGCAGCTCCCCCAGCTCCTGTTTCTGTCAGCAGAGCCCCGCATCCATATTCAGCAGGGCTGGAGGTTTATAGCATTCCCAGCATCCTTGTTTCTTGTAAAAGGTAATCAAATCTGGCTGTGGCGGTGTCTGCTATAATGTCTATTTCTGAAAAGCAATTAAGGATGATTATTTTTTTTTTTTTTAGCTGGCTCTAATTGATGTCAAAGGACAACCATTTTAATGGGATGTCGGGAAACATGAGAAACTTTACTTTTTTTTTTCACCCCCCCCTTTAAAAGCCCTGATTCTGATGATACAAATGTACCTGGACCTAACCTAACTTTCAATGAGTGAATAAACCAATTTCTGTGGCATGAAACCTCACGTGAATTAATTAACATTTCTTTACAGCACCACATTACTGTGCTTTTAATATTTTCCCTGGATGCAGCGTTGTGGGGATTCGCAAGCCCAAAACTGGAAGATGGCCAGAGTTGGGGGAAAGGAAGTAGGAACAATCAGGGTTATTTTTTATTTTGTTTGTTATGGTAGACCCTGTCAGCCAGCTCAGCGTGGGACCTTGTTATATTTTACAGATGCAGCTCCGAAAAGACAAATTATATACCGTTTAGATATTTTTTAATTCTTGCAATTTCTCGGGTATACGTTGTCTGACAGATTGCAGTGGTCCCATGGAGAGTAACGCGTGTTAATTCTACACCAAACCATCGAGGTACTGGAGGTGAAGTAAATTATACGCAGAGGTTTGCAAAGGCACTTGAGATATGACAAAGATTTGATCTTGTCATGTTTTTCAGGCTGGATTTTGATGCTTTGAAGTAGTTTGTTGGGCCTTTGCTTGCTGAACTCATTTGCATAAATTTGAAGTCAATCTTCCTAAAAAAAAAAAAAAACCAAACCCTGCACGTTGTTCTCACGGATGTCATACTTTGCACTAGGCATATATCTCCCGAGCTTTATGTCATACTATTGACTCAGTATAGTTAATTAATAATGTAATGTAAATCTCTTCGAGAGAGCAGTGAAGATTGTTGGCGGTATAAAAATGTTTGTTAATGCTCATCGTAAAATATTATTCAAGTCTGGCATTTCTTTCCTTTTTGGAGCAAGTTCTAATTATTCTTTTACAAGATTCATGGCATACATACAGTGAGAAATTGTAATTCCCACATGTAAAGATTAGTTCTTTTGTATGAATAACAGGCTTGGTCTACAGGTCTTAAGCAAAATTCACGCTGTTTTCCGTTAATAGAGGTTTCGTTTGAAGAGAATTGATATATACAGGTAAAAATCGTGGGTTTTCCCAGGGAAGACATGTTTCATGGCGTTTACGAATACACAGATATTTCAGTGTTTTATTTGGCCATTCTAAACTGGGGTTTTTTGGGTTGTTTTTTTGTTTGTTTGTTTTTTTTTTTTTTCTTCATAATATCTCCTTGGGTTATGCCTGTGCCTTATCAGTTCTTCGAGTGATAGTTTCTCACTGTAAATTCCCTTTGAATAATTTTTGTCATTTAATTATCTATTCAGTGTAGAGATGAACACTTATGGTCACAAAGAATAAAAGTATATAATCCAGGAGCAGAAGAGGTCAAAATTTACAGTCACTTGCCTTTCACTGATCCCATAAAACAATCCAAGCATGCAGAAATGATGATCCCATAAGAGACACCAGGGCAGAAGAATGAGAATGCAGCAAGAAATCCATCAGACTTATTGATATCTGTGAAGCTGAGGATCCCTGAAGTTGTGAATATAGAAGTGAGTTTTATATTATAGAATGAAATATTTATTAACTTTCTCCATCTGTTCTTTAAAAAATTTAGTTTAATGTCATCAAGGCATTTATGGAATACATTTAGCTTAATCATGCATTCATGCCTTAGGGAGTAAACTATCCCTGGAGACTTGTTCATTCTGGATCAGGTCTAGAACAAGCAATAGTTTAAAACTCCATCATTCTTTTGAAAAACAGATGACTTTGAATCATTCCTGAAGAGAGGGCTTTTTTTTTTTTTTTTTTAAAAAAAAAAAAAAGGTCTGGTATTGAGCATACTCAAATAGCCACAACAATAAGGATGCAGAGAATGAGATTAATGAGATTATAGACTAGCATAACTAAATTAATCAGCTTCTCTACCAAAACCGCATTTGTAGCCAGCTCAAGTGTTAACCAAACGCATCATTTTGGTCGACTAAAGAGCCTACTTCCTCTGCTCTCAACTTTCTTGTGGCAAATATAACTCAAGCAGACAAAATTTTGTGTGAGGATCATCATTTCTGGAGGAGAAATTTCAAAAACAAGCTGATGGACTCGGTGGCAGAGTTTGAAATTGCAGAAACCACAGTCTCTTTCATCTGTTGAATGTGAAGAAGTTTGATGAAAGGATATTATAGAGTAGTGACAAGGACCTAATTCTGATCCAAGTTTTGTCATTATAAATCATGAGTAATTCCAAAGACTTCAGTAGACCCTTATCACTGTTAAACATCTGTAAGTCAGATCAGAACCGGGACTAATAAATACATTCAAAAATGCATAATTAAACCAGTGATTTCACATCACTCTGATGAATTTTAGTCAAGGATTTCTTCAAGGATGCTTTTCTCGCATTAGCATTTGACGTTAGTAAGCAATGAATAATTCCATTTTTTCTTCCCAACATCTGGGACACTTCCTGCTTTATTTGCTACTTACTGAACACTCGGCAGGAAATATTAATGAATCTTGGGTGTTAAAATACAGGCCCTGTGGATCGTGCTCAGGAGGCAGTGCTACATAGCAGAGCCTGTGTGTCTTGAGATTGAGAGGCTTGATTTTGTGAAGGAAGATATTGAGAGATTTCCCAAATTTGGGGGAGATATGGAGATTTGAGGAGTTCACCCAAAAGCCAAGCCCCTGCAGATCCTTCCTTCAACTGCTCCCTCATGCCAGGAAGACAACAATTAATGATACAAGATTTTCCCCTTGGTCAGATCAATTATTTTTACCCGTGATTCAGAAAACTAGCACTCAGGGATGCCCTGAGGCTGGGAAGGCGCTGGGTGACGGGCAGCGACACCAAGGACCCGGACCAGGAGACCGACGTGCCATGAGAGCAGCTGCTTTCTCACACCCCCCCAAGGCCTGGGGGTTTTTCTCTTTATTGTCAAATTCTGTGGTAAAATTCCATGTTTGGAGAGGTCTGCTGGCTCTTCAGAGCAATCTGCAGAGGAGAGGTGGGCTGAGCACCAGAGGTGGGCAGGAGAGCTTCCAAAGGAGGAAAGAAATGTCCCTCTGTATTAGCGTGAAGTGACCTCGGCAGCTCAGCATCCGACCAGGAGGGTGAAAGTAGCCTCTGCGATAGAAAACAAGTTAATTAGAAGTTAACCAAAATTTGTACCATCTTGGTGTATAACAGACCTTCTGGGATTGCTTGCTTTGACCTAGCAGGACTAACAAAACTTTCTACTTTCTCTTATTGTCCAGAAAAATCCCTCTTATCTGCACAGGTAGTGTTTCCACCTTGGTTAGACACACTTTTACTGGGCTCGTGTAACGAAATGTGAACGTCTGCAAGACAAGTATCTCCATCCAAGCTGCTCCCCGAGGCTCTCTACATGCCCTGGGTATCACTGGTGCTCAGGGGGCTGCTTGTCCTTGCAGCCCGTCCATGAAACACCGTGGAAAAAATGAAGTGCTCAGGCTTTACATCCCTATGGAAGATAACCAAGGGAGGGTCCCATTGGGCAGCCCAGCCCTCATCCTGCTGAGTCAGCACCTTCTGAGGTGCCTCTCGTCACTCAACCTGAGCAAACACTGCCCAGGGAAAGGCTGGTGGGAGAGGGCACAGATGCGGTGCGGCAAATTAAGACACAAATGAAATTAAAATAAATAAGAAAATATAAGCTAGCTCCATGCTTCGTGCACTGGGCTGTACATTACCGCAGGATTAAGTCATATCAGCCAGAGTACATTTTACAAGAGTGCACAGCACCTCAATCCTATAATCAATAAGCTGTACATGCTGCAGCACAAAGAGCTCTTATCTGGAATACCACTTTGAATTTAGTGAATTTATTTAATCCTTGATGCCTGCAGAGCATCAGTCCTGTCTTCTGGGTTAATTTATTTATTCCGGTGATCTATTTTTAGTCTTTCAAGTACTTGACATTTGAGAAGCAGATTCTTTTTCCCCACTGCCCAAAAACCATCTGAATTGGAAAAACTTTATTTACAGAAATGTATTTGTTTCCTAATTCATTCCCCTACTCTTTCTCTTGGGAACTAAAGCTCTGCTGTCAATACTAATAACCGCACGCTGAATGGATCAGGAAAGGCTCCTTTTCACCCTGCTTGGCAAAGCCTGTTTCTAAATCAGTGCTGGACATCCAGCGATCTTCTGATCTTTTTTTTTTTTTTTTTTTTTTTTTTTCCC